TTAACACAAAAAATGGTTATTCCCACATTTTCCAATGATAAGAGTTGAGCAATCGGTAGTGCACGTATCAAAGAGACCGTATGCTGTTCATAGGCGTGGGCAGCGGTTACCGAGTCGCAAAGACCGGACCGAACAGAACCGATCCGCACGCATTTTGGACGGATGCCGTGATGACGAGACGGGGATCGCACCTGTGGTTGATTTTCTCTCCAATACGCATTTGTGCGAGGATGGCGGATTTGAGGTTCTTTAGCCGAACCGAACCGCCAAAGTGAGTCCTTAGTAATTTATAAATTTGTGTTTCAATTTGTTTAATTATTTGTTTTGTGTTATCAATTGAGAAAATAGTTCAATATCTCTTGACAAAAGTTTCAACTTTGAATTTTTTGAATTGAAAAACGTAACACTATTATTATCTATATGTTGGTTTTTAAATTAAATCTAAAGTTAAAGGAAAACTATGAAAGTGTCTGTTTTAGTTTTCCAAAACATATTAAACTGCATACAGAGACATCAATCTAATCTATGCCGTTCATAGGTTTCGTGGATTTGAAATTGTTTTAGTATTTGAAGAACACAGATTGGTAATATTAGTGATAGGCATGCGTGATTGTAATATGTGATGAGGCATGCAATACGATTGTGATATTCTAAGTTTAAACTTTGTTTCTTTGGATGAGGCATCTTATAATTGTAATCCTTTTGTTAAGTCATTGATGTAATACTTCTTCTATCTCTTTTTTTTTTGAAAAGTGCACGAGTTGCATTAGAAAATTTATAAAAAATTTCAACTGCTTAACCGATCGCATCCCATTCGTCAAACCCATCCGCACCGCGGATTGCATAGACGGTGCGGATGATTTTCTCAAACCCGCCAATTCTGGCGGGACGGTGAGGACGGATGAGGTTTGTGGCGGCAACAACTCCGCGCCACCCCTATAGAATTTCAAGAATTGAAATAAATAAAAAAAAGAAATTAAACAGGATTATTGACCCAACGTTTTCGGTAGTGCCTACCTTAAATGATTGAGAAAAATAAAATAATATAATAAATTAATAATTGATAAAAAAGCTTATGTATACATGGTATTTCGGGTAGTACCTAAAATTTTTCACCAACAAATTTATAATCTTTAAGCAGGTTTAAAGACTCATACTTTTTTATACTGACAAATTCACCCAGGTAGCCCATATCATTGGTGGTTTAATAAATCAAGCGCTTGACATTATATCATGCCCATATCATTATAAGTCCAATTACTGAATTTTTTTTAGGATCTCAAACATTTTTAGGACAAACTTACTTACTTTACTCTTCTGATTTCATTGCATGTGCAGTTTACCTTAATGTTTAGATAGTCACATAACCCTTGTGATGTATGGATGAATTGCACCCCTTGTTAAGTCTGTTAACGTTTAATGATAAAGACTAAAAACACTCTTTATATTTTCTTATCATTGCCTGCTTTTAAAAGAGCAAAATACAATTTGTCCCTTATAATCTAGTTTATCTGCAATTTACTTTTTTAAATTCTTAAAAAATGAACGTATTAAAAACTTTTTATGTCTGTTAATATATTTTGCACTAACTTGTTAAGTCTAAACTAAAACATTTAATTCATATACTTTACCATCTATAAATCACATAAAATTTATATGTATGAATTTCTACGGGACAATTAAAGTGAAATTCTGTTTCATATTCTTCTAGAATCTTCTACCCGATCCATCCTCCGCTCCTTTAACTAAGCCGACCCAGAACAGAAACGTTCCGCTTCAGCTTAAGCCGAGCACAGAGCAAAAACGGCGGTGCAATCCGCCATCAAGACCCCCCCACGCATCTATCTCTATCAGTTAACAAACAGACACCACAATTCTCTACACCTAACTCGACATTCACTTCGACCTTCGCTTTTCACTGCCACTTCACATTTTTTTTGCAGTTTTTTTTCAGACCAACCAAACAAACAAAACAACAAACAAACAAACTCTTCTCTCTCTCTCTCTCTCTCTCTCTCTCCTAACAGGTTATCTATACCATAGGGTTTCTCTCTCTTCGATTCAACCCAAGGCCAAAATACGTATACTTATGCTGTGTAGTGATTATATGCGATCAACCAACTAGAACGGTGGAAATCATAGAACTATGAATTTCAACTCCGACAATACGAAAGGCCTTACACTTTCAAATTCATATTTAGGGCCAATTCTCCAGTCCAGTAAGCAGTTTGCTTTCTCTTTCTGACGATGAATCCACGACTATTGTCTTTATTGGTTTGACTCGGTCTTCGTCTCTTTCTCTGTCGCTTTATACCCATCAGTTTTGGGTTTTTGATCAGTCTAAGATTCTCAAATCTGTGGTTTTCAAGTGTATCCCTTGCGTGTGATGAGTGTTGTTTTTTTTTGAAAGTAAAAAATTGTACACTCTCTCGTCATTGGCTCCTCGATTTATTTTTGCAGACCCTGTTTTTAATTTGAATTTGTTGTTGTTTTGTATGATTTGCAGGTGAGAGATCCAAAGTATCCGTAGGTGCCCTGAAATTTGGGATTCTGCAAAGTGTTTCTGTGAAGACAGAAGAATGAAGAAGAAGAAGAAGAAGAAGAACAATGAATGAGAGCTTAAATAAAAAAATTCATCCCCGGAACTCAAGTTCATATCCGTGCAGTCTTTATCAATCGTCGATCATCTGTTTTCCTAGTCTCTCAATTCCATACACTTTGATTTTTGTTAATATTGTGGTACATCATTAACATTATTAATACACTTAGTGAGAGCTCCTTTGTTCACTTACAATTGGTTATCTAAAAGCATCTCTTCTTCGCAATAACATTGCTACACCTAAATATTACCTTACCTCTTTTATTCATTATAGTGAATTGAAGAAGCAGTCAACGTGCTCTCGTTCCGACCTTCATAATCCAAACAACCATGTTTGCGTTAGCGTACAAACAACATAGTTTTTTATTCGCATGAGTCAGTACTAGTGAAATATTGCTGCATTTTCTAAATGGAATGGTGTTGGAAATTTTTAATCAATGGATTGGTTTTTGAGCAGGTCTTGAACAACTACCATCTCCAAAAAAAATTATTCCGTGCGAACCGAACATCAGGCATTATTAAGCCAAAATCAACTTGTGAATCACCGGTATGTCTTGTAACTTTATGTAAGTGAAAAGTTAATGTATCATAAGGTTTTTCAGAAAAAAGAAGAAATACTTGCTGTATTTTTCTAAAGCACACATAACAACATTGGTTACCTATATATATTTGGGGTATCAACAATTTAGAGTAAGGAGTGGCATACTTCTTATTTTTATTAGTAATTGAACTTGAAAAAACTCTCAAGGGTATTTGAAATTAGTTGATATGCCAATGACTGGGGATCCATCATTCATACCTATGTGAGCAAGGACGGAACTATTTTTGCAAATTGATTTATTTATTTGTGCCTTAATTTAGGATTTCTTATTTCCTAGGACAAGATCTGAATATGCATATAGACTAATTGTCATGGGAGTGATAATTTCAGACCCTTGAATTAAAATTGTCTGCCAGATGTTTTCATAGAAGGCCGCCATGCAAGCTATTTTAGATTTAAAAGCATAGGGGGTTACTCCTGGAGGTGATCATTATTAGCATCATTGTTCTTGGAATGCTAGTTGATTAAATTAGACTTGATGATTAGGTGTGTGGGAGCAATTGGACCAACATGAAAAAAGTTATCAAGTTTATGGATTTTTTATGGAAATTTTGTTAGGAAAGGAAGGAAAGGGCAATGCTTTTAACTTTTTGTCCCTTCGTAGCTCCAACTGAATACTCTCTTCAGATTGATCTTCCGAGCATGCTCGGGACTCCAATTTTTCTTACAATCGATTTGTGCATTTATCGAGGCAATTTTTTGATTCTTTTTGTTTTTGGTTAAGGTAACAAGGCAGTTTTCATTTTTATGTGGATAGAGGATAAAGTTCTATATAGACTCAATATAGAATATATCATTTCCTTCCCTCTGGGAAAATGTCCTTAGATTAAAAAAGAGGAAAATTAAGGAAAAGAAAGAAGATCAAAAGTATCCTTTTGCACATTATTAAATTACACAAATCTTAAATGCCATCTGAAATAGAAATTGATATATTATTTGCAGATTTTAGAATAATGTTGATACATGTCACCAATATTGTGTTCACATTCTACTTACATTCACATACATTCTAAATGTTGTTGTCCTTGTCTATGTTGTTCATGGTTGGACAAATTTGGTGTTATGTAGTTATGATGCAAGCAAAAGGGTGGATCCTCCTGACATGATATGCAAAGACAGTTTTTAGTTCAAGAGCCCACAGTTGCGTTCCTGCAGGACGGGCAGTGATGATGATATATCCTAGGCATTGTAAGTTTTTTGTAGTGTGTATATACCAAGTGTGTTGGTCTGCATTTTACTAGTTCTGGTTTCATCCGGTTTAGATTTGGCAGTTTGTCCAAAGATGTATGTCCGACTACGTTGAGAGAACAAGCTGAAAGTGGTCCCTTTCAGTCCCCAAATTCTTCGGTTACTTTCACCAATCAACTAGAACGTTGAAACAGGAATGCCGGCTAATTTGAACCTTCAATACTGAAAGATCAAGTGCTGAGGAAAGTCGGAAAGCCTTATCCCAACGTCACACTAGTAAGAGGATTCCTTTACTTTGATATTCAGGCCTCATCTATGTCATTTTATATGTGGACATCAACATGATGTTAGTCTATTCGGGGAATTGTACATGTGAATCTAGTGGTTACATTGGAGCTTCATTATGTTCTGGAAATTGACCAGTTAGGAAAGAGATTTGAGTTAGGGATTCAGCATTTGACTCAAGCTATCTGTCGTATTATTATGAAGTTCTTTTCCCTTGGTGTTGTATCTGAAAATATAGTATATTTGTGATTTTGATTTTTCGTTTGTGTCAGGTTACTGAGGATGTGGAGTCCAAAGTGGAAAATAGTGAGGAGGCAAATTCAGCAAAGAATTTAGAGTATAAAACAAGGAAGGATGCGGATGAGCCTTCCATGGATGTCGGGTATAAAACAAGGAAGGAAGTGGATGAGCCAACAACAGATGTAGAGCATAAAACAAGGATGGATGTGGATGAGCCAACAACAGATGTAGAACATAAAACAATGAATGATATGGAGGAGCTGAAGTTGGTTAAAGATGTTTCGGAAATGAAGTCAAAACTAAATGGACTTGAATCAAAACTAAGTGAGGTCAGTTTTCTCCCGGTTTTCTGGTTTCCAACTACTTGTATTAATCATGTGGCTTTCCTTGTTCGCTGGTTAGTTGCTAGGGTACCTGGGTTTAATGAGACTTCTCTGGCAGCTATACCTAGTTTGATATTTTATGCCTCCAACATCTCTTGTTTTTTTTTATATGAGGGATACATTTATGAGTGCTTGTTAATGTGGAAGCTATACCTAATTTCTTCTAGATATATTTTATTTTCAATCCATGTGAAAGATATGATAAACTGTGGGATCCTTGTGGACTTGGTTGCCCTTTTTTTGTGGACAGACTGGCTTTAGATTCCATAAAGATGAGTATTTATACCATACAGCCTTGCACTTTACCCCATATTTATTTCACTTTGGTCCTTGCACTCCCAATTGTGACAGTCAAAACCTTATGCTTCTAGTCAAGTTTCAATATCAATATCGATACTCCTGTCAAGTTCCGTATAGAAAATGATCAAAACTGGCCAGATGAATGTCACGTGAATTAAAAAAGTTTCCATCAAAGCAAATATCAGTGAATAAAGTGAATCTTCATGAAAGAGAAAAACTTGGGAGATTTAAATTGCCAAATTAGGCCATGTGCTGCTACATGTCTAATTCCAGTCAAATTTACTGGCAACCATTGACCGAGGTTTGACATGGCAAGTTGACCAAAAGTCAGTTTTTTGACTGCCACAATTAGAAGTACAGGTACTAAATGAGATTTGAGGTAAAGTACATAAGCGCAAAGTGTAATTTACCACATTAAAAATGCTTCAGCATCAATTATGCACTTGGCTTCATTTCCTGCTGTGAACACTTTGTAGGATGAGAATGCCTGCCAGTTGAGGATAAAATGGAATGGTCAATAATTTGAAGACTGAAACATTCTGTTAAATTTCCAAATTTAATACACTTAATGGATTTAGAAAGTGGTTTATGATTGCCTTTCCACTGCTATATGTTCAAAGAACAGTGCTCATGATTTTTCCGAATTTACTTTTGCAGGCTGAAGTTATCATTTCAAAACTAACAGAGGAGAGGAGATTGAATGCTCAAGAGAGGGAAAGTTTACGGCAAGAATTGGTACTACATCATTGCATTCTCTTCTTGTTTAGTGTTTTCATGTACACCAGCAGTGTATCTAAGGGCCCGGTTACTCTATTCTATGATATTTAAATGGAGTTCCATTATATTGTCTTTATTTAAAGACACTGTTGATATTGCTCTTGGGAGCAACTTAAATGAAGGCTAACAGCAATGGCCGTTAAGATGAGTTATAAACCCAATTAGCCATTGAAACCCTTTCCTACCTATGAATCCAAGATCCAGTGGCTTAGTTTGTACTCGCAAAAGTTGCATAAAGAGTATCTGTATTGGATAGAGAACCATTTTCTTAGAATACCATAAGAACCAATAGGTGAAAATAGTCATTAATAACATCTTTAGACCTCTTCAATGGACCTTTGCTTAACAAACTTGTATGGTAATCGGTTTCTAGTTCTTTCTTGATCTCCAAAATTTTCATTTTGAAACTCTTGTATTTTGTGCTATTTTCACTCTCAAAACAAATAACCCAAGTGGGGGGTGAAAATTTCTAGCAAATCTATAAGATAGTCAATGCATCGCTTTTGCATTTTTGCTTTTTTTCTACGACTTTCACTTTTGGAGACATACTTGTTGGATTTGCTTCTTGACATTGGCTTAATTGCTTTTGCAGGCTTTGTTGATGAGCAAGAGAGTTGTATGAAAAGTTTATGCAGGATTTCTTTTCCTATTTGCTTGTATGGTGGCACTTGTCTGTGTCATGCTCAGGTACCTTCTAAACCGCTGAGATAGAATTTTTAGCATGAAGAACGTTTGGGAGATTCAATATATGCCTGCCTCTACATGAGAGAATTGTTTATATAACCAGAGGTTGTTGATAGAAGAAGACATAGATCACTAAAATTCCCTCCTTTTGGTGCCTTTTTGTGGCTTTTGTCACTTTGCAACTTCGTAGTTGTTCACTAATCTGAATTGAAGTTGGTGAGTTCAATAGAAAATCTCATCAAGGTGGTTTTAGTTGTATGCATTTACATTTTCAAAATCAAGATATAGATGTTTTTGCACATTGTATTTGTGATTTTGTTTGGCAACTACTTTTTTTCATGTGATAAACCTTGCAATCACGAAATAAGTTGCTTTTCAACTAAGAAAGTCAAAAAGTAAAAAATTTATTTAATTTGACTAAATAAGTAACTCTTCCTTAATTTTTTTTATTTTGAGAAAATCCTTGCAGTTAGCTGTAAATATGATTTTACCCCTAACAGTTTAAGAAATTCCGTTGTGTTTGTTTGGTTAGGTTAACAAAAGGCTTTACAACATTTTAAGGGTAATGTAATGTGATAATTTTTCACAAAAAAGTAACTAGTTAAAAAAGTTTCACAAACTATTTTTTCGTAACAGAAAGTAAAATTTTAATTGTACCAATTTTTTTTGGACTTTATAAAATAAAAAATTATTTACCAAAATATTGCCGAATCCAATAGGATGACACCAAAAAAGCTAGCCAATTTATTTTTATTTTTATTTTTTTTAAAATTTTTGTGATTTATTGTTTAGCGATATATATATATATATATTCCTTTTGTTATATGAAAAATTCGAAAAAGGAAAAAAGTTTTAAACTAGAAAAGCAACGCTACAAGATCAAGGGTCCCACTTCTTCCCTGTAGGCGTAACGTACCAAAAAAACAAAGGTAGGTTTTGGTAGAATTTTTTAAATATAATTTGAGAATAGAGTTATATTTTGAGTTTGTGAGTTTTAGAATTATAATTTGAGTGTAAAAAATTTGTTTGGTTACCAGTTTTGAATTGAGTTTTGAGTTGAGTGTTGAATTGAGTTTTTAATGTTTGACGTGACATGTGAAATAAGAAAATTTGTTTGGTTATGAAATTTTAAAAGAATTTTCAAAACTTAATTCAAATTGTTATAACTCATAACCAAAAATACTACTCAAAACTCTATTGAAAATTTTGATCAATAAGCAAATTCTTTTTAAAATTTAATTAAAAAAATTAATTATTAACAGAAAATAACATTAATCAATTTTTTTAATTGAAAATATTACAAAGACAATAATTTTTTTTTTCAAAATAAATATTCAATTACTGATTTAAAATAATTTTTGATTGTATATTTGGTTTGAATTTTTTATAAATATTTTTCAGTTAAAATATTTTTATATTTTTAATAATTACTGTCACGAATTATTTGCTATTTATTGTATTGTTATTTTCAAATGAATAGCCAAAAAATTTATTAGGTATTATGTATGTGAGAGTCAAACAAAAATTAAAATATTATTTTGTTAGCATCTACACAGTTTACCACACACAATTCAATTTTATTCAATTTTTTTTATTCGCTTTCAACAGAAAATTAGTCTACAATAGTACAAACACATGTATGTATGTATGAAAGAGTTACCAAAAAAAAAAACCATTGTAGTGCTCAACTGGCCGGACATCCGGAGGGATGCTTGGGGATGTCTCATAGACTCAAAAAAATTCAAAAATTGTATGAAAAGAAAAGAGTTTTGCATTGGAAGTTTGTTTTGGAATGAGCTGAGCCAAACGTGAACTAGAAATGTATTTTGAAATGTGTGGTGAAATTAATTTTTAAAAAGCCCATCCAAACACCTTGTTCACGTGAAAAGGTGAAATTGTAATTGAAAAGTTATACCAAACATAGCCTTAGTTTCTCGCAATTAAACCAATGTCATGGTGGAATGTTGATCCATCCATAATCGCGATCAACGGTTGTTAGCCCTCTCCTTAAGGAGCTCAATTCCTGTTAAGTAAACATGCATGCAAGTAATAAATGACCATGCCCAGATGATGCGCACCTTGTCAAGTAGCAAGCAACATGATGCAATCCTAACATCATTCTAAGGGACATCCTATGCTCTTTAGGACTCAAAGTGTGTGAATAACGTACTAATAGGAACTTGTGCTCTGATATCAATCTGTTACGACCCCATTCCGCCCCTAGTAGAATGGTGCCATGATGGCCAGTAATCTGGGATTACTGAAGGCCAGCTTTCAAAATTCACATCCAATCAGAGTATAATATATAGGGCTTACAAGTGCGGAAGCAATATAAGTAAATCTAATTAGTCCATAAGAGTTGTGCATAAGTCTATGGAAAAGCATACATCTTTACATAGCTTTTGAAACTTAAATACAAATACAATGAAGTACAAAAATACATTTTGACCAAAAGACTTCTCAAGCCATCATATACAGGATACAATAAAATGCAAGCTAAGAAGCATGATCTTCAAGATGTTGCAAAACACGAATCCAAAACACATCTAGGCGTCGCTGCCGTCCTGCTCATCACCTACATATATATAGAGAGGGTGAGCTTGGATACTCAGTGAATGGTATAAGTAATAAAGGGGTTTGCATGACTGATATTCAAGATCCTTAGCAAAACAATACATAACATATCTAGTATGAAATCAAGGGATGAACCAAGTTCATCTAGTGGGTCTTTCAAGCTTCAAGGGATGCTTACTAGCATCAATGTAATACAAGGGATGACATTCCGGACAAGCAAACCCACGCGGTAAAACCGTCGGTGGCAAGGCAAGACAAGACAAGACAAGCGAGATCTCAAAACAATGGTGTCGTTGCATTATAGTCCCCGGACACTAAGGACTTGTGCTACAAATGCTTAGAGTCCCTTAGCACGTATGGACTTTCCAAGATTGTGCTACAAATGCTTATAGTCCCCTAACACATACGGACTTTCCAAGATTGTCATCAAAACAAGATAGTATTTATTGCAACTAGGAATAATCATTCATGCTTGTAAATATTTTCCGAACAAGTCAAAACAAGGTTTTATCAAAGCTTTATAACATATCTTTATTAAAAATACCACTCACATAGTTCTTCAAACGTCGGGGTCAAGCGAGAGTCCAAGTCCTATAAACATACGGCAAAGTCTATTGAATGCATTTTCAAACAAGCTTTACATGAATGCAAATGATCTCGACATTC